TAAACCCTAAATCCCTACACCCCAAAGGGATCCGTAAGGGTTCCATAAGGGGATGTATAAGAGGGCTTAGGACTTTAGGACTTTGGGATTTTAGGGTGGTTAAGGTGATGGGTTGTTGTCCGTGGTTGCGGTTTGCTATGGGGTAATGTAGGGGCCTGAATAACTNNTAGAATAGGGTTTGGGGGGGGTACATTATAGAATATTCATAATAAGGAGCCCCCAAATAGTACAGGTAATTATTAAGGCCCCTACATTGCATTAAAGCTTTAGGGTTTAAGGTTAGGGACTCCCGGACGAACCTCTGGCGCATTGAGGGTTTCGGGGCGCAGGGAGGGCAGAAAGTGGTGCTTGAGGAGTTAGGGGGAACAGACATCGCAATGATCCTTAAACCCTAAACCCTAAGCCGTAAACCCTACCCCCAATCCCTAAACCCTAAACCCCAATCCCTAAACCCTAACATCCTAAGACCCTAAACCCGAATCCCTAAACCCTAAAACCCTACAGGCCGTAACCTGAAGACCTGGAGTTTCCGACCCAGAGCTCCAAGGAAGCGGTTTAGGGTTTAGGGTTTGGGGGTTTGGGGTTTAGCTTGTAGTGGTTTAGGGTTTAGGGGTTTAGGGTTTAAAAAGGACAAGAGTTTCGCCGCCGACAACTACCCTCGATTTTATGAGCAATAGCCAGGATTAAGGAACCAGGATTAAGGAAAAAAATGTCTCTATTAAAGGGCACCCTCCTAGAAGCAAACGCAGCCAAAAAGACGCAAGGAAGAAAGGCAACTCTCCATCCAACTAAAAAGCTCAGAACAAACGAACGAAGCAGCATAAGCTCAACGAACCCTGCAGCCTAAAGAATGCTACTAAACTCCGCAATGGCCCAAAACCCTGAGCCCTGAATTCTAAACCCAAACCCCAAAGCCTGAAGCCAAACAGCAACAAAAGCCCAGCACAAGAAGCGACCTCCAAGGCTTTGAGGATGGCTGTTTGGCTCTTGCCGCCTGAGCCATACGGATTTGGCTAGGGTTTAGGGTTTAGGTTTTAGGGTTTAGGGCTTTAAGAATTTAATGGCTTCTTGACACTCAAGTTTGACGGGTCTTGGAAGAGTCGCTTCACTTCTGGATTTCAGCATTCTATTGACAGCGGTTTGCAAGCTCTTTGCTTACAGGCTTCCTAGCTTTAGGTGATTTAGGTGTCCTCTGTTGAGGTTCCTTCTACTTGTCACAAGAAAGGGATCCTGCTTTTTGAAGCCTTCAGAGCCTCAGAGCTTCGATGTTTAGGGGCGAGCGCTTTGTTTGGTGTCTTTTTCCCACTGCAAACCTGCACCCTAAGCCTTGAACCGAGATCCTAAAGCCTCAAGGGCTCAAGGGGCTACGCAGAGAGAGAAGGCATGAGAGCACAGACATCACACACTGGGAGATGAAGGGGACCATGGGCAGGGCCCCAAGTGTGATGAGTAGGGCCTTGGGGTATAGTATACTGTGATTATATGTAACTCTCATAAGGAATCACCAAAGTAGTAGGTATAGTATAACATGATTATATGTAACTCTCATAAGGAACCAAAGTAGTACTGCTAAGTATATAGGCTTCTATATTAGGCCTGAACTTTGCAGACGCACACCTGGAATCTATCACGAGAACAGGCAGTAGAAGGAATCATGTGATCTTCTGCCGTTTGGCTACGGCTTGCACTCCCCATAACCATATTTTGGGTAGTTCTCTAAACTAGGATTTGTTTTGGGTCCTTTTTATACGGGTATCGTACTATTTTGGGGACCTAAAAAGGGACCTTAACTTAAAGAACATTCCTAAACCTCAAGAAACCTCAAGCCCCCAAACCCGAACAAAAGCCCGGTCCTCGAGCCTCGCAGAAGCTTATCGACCGTGTCCATCCTACTCAAACCTTCTTAGTCTCATTTCAGCGATTGAAATTTTAGGGGTGGGATTTCGAGTGCAGGGTTTCCGGCTTAGGGTGCAAATTTGGATTCGGGTGTCCGGGTGTCCCCGGTGCCCCAGGCCACGGAACACGTGGATTTGGAGCGGAAGTACCCTGAATGCCAGATGCTACAGCCGGAACTCGCGAACCCCTGAGACCCGTGATATAGGAACCTGCATAAGGGAACTATCATAAGGGCTCCTATCTTGGGTTGAATTCAGGGTACTATTATCAGTAAGGGCTTATAAGGGTCTAGCACAGGAACCTGATGAAGGAACCTTGCATCTCCACTAGGGTTCTTAATATGGGGGTTTCCGAAAATAGGGGACCCTGATATAGTACCCTAAATAATCGGATCCCCATTGTAAGGACCCCAAAATAAGGTACCCCCCTATTTTCAGAAACTCCCATATGGATCCTAAGATTTTGGGGTTCATGTAGGGACCTAATAATGAGAATAGGGTTTTGGGGTCCGCTATCCTATAGTTATAATGAGGAACCGGGGTTAAGGTAGGGGCCTTAAGAATCAGAATAGGGTTTTGGGGCCCGTCATATTATAAATATAATACTACGGCAACCCCCAAAAGGGTCTAGGTAGTTATTAAGGCCCCTATATTAGGTTTCGTAATCAGGTTCGTACATTACCCCGAGAGCATGAGTTCCCGCTGCCGAAACAACATCCTATATGAGTAGTTCTCTAAATGAGGGTCCCTTTTTAGATCCCCAATATAGTACGGCACCCCTTAAACCCTAAAAGGGACCCATCCTTTACCTAAGGCTCTAAGGATTCATATTCTAAGGCTGCTGGGCCCGAAGAGGACACTGTAAGGGGCCTAGGACTCTTTCAGTCCTGAGCTATTTGGGAGTTTCCGAAAATTAGGGTACCTTATTTTGGAGTCCTTATAATAGGGGTCCTATTAATTAGGGTACTATATTAGGGTCCCCTATTTTCGGAAACCCCCATTTTGAGCCTTAGGGTGAAACATGGTAGAACTAGGGTCGAGCGGTTTAGCGCCTACTACAACCCTTTGCAAACAACGGACTCCGAATTGATCCGGGATACTGCTGGCCACGGCTGGCATAGATGCCAGCTTCACGAGTGTGTCCTCAAGGGGAGTCTAGAATAGCTTGCAACATCTTGCAACCGTGCCCGCGCAAGTCTGTGATCCGGGAGCTTAGACTCAGCAAGCATTACAGAAAAAAATCATATGATCGCACGGCAGTACGTAAATTCGTTAAAGGTTTCTTTGTGTAGTCATAAATACACGCCCTAAGCCCCAAAACCCTAAACCCTAGGGCTTTGTGTCTTGCCTGCTTTAGGTTACGGGGTTTTGCACGGGTTTCAGCTCGGAAAGGCCCCGGACGCGACACTCACGCCTAACTTTG